TAAAAACCTTTTGCCCTTAAGAATGATACAGAGGACTTTGGGAACACAGGGGTAAGTGTGGGAGGGGTGGGAGGGATAAAAGACTGCACACTGGGTACAGTGTGCACTGCTTGGGTGATCTCAGAAATCACCACTAAAGAACTCATCCATAAAGAACTCGCTTTTCTCACATACAAAGTACATTCATTCCATCCTAATAGCCTCAGAAGTCTTAACTTGTTCCAGCACCAACTCAAAAGGCTGAAGCTCAGAATCTCATCTAAATCAGATAAGGATGAGACTCAAGGCATGATCCAACCTGAGGCACTCATTCATTTGTGAGCCTGCGAGGTTAACAAGTTATGTGCTTCTAAAATACAACACTAGGACAGGCATAAGATAGACATTCTCATTCCAAAGGGGAGAAATACAAAGAAAGAAAGAGGTAACTTGTCCCTAGTAAGTCCAAACCCCAACAGGGAAATTTTTAAGCCTTAAAGTTGGAGAATAAAGCACTCCTCAGCATATGCAAAACAACTGAAATCATAACAAACAGTCTCTCAGACCATAGTGCAATCAAGTTAGAACTCAGAATTCAGAAACCAACCCAGAACCACACAGCTTCATGGAAACTGAACAACTGACTCTTGTATGTTGACTGGGTAAACAATGAAATGAAGGCAGAAATAAAGAAGTTCTTCGAAACCAATGAGAACAAAGACACAACATGCCAGAATCTGGGACACATTTAAAGCAGTCTCTAGAGGAAAATATATAGCAATAAGTGCCCATAGGAGGAGAATGGAGAGATCCAAAATTGACACCCTACCGTCAAAATTGAAAGAGCTAGAGGAGCAAGATCAAAAAAACTCAAAACCTAGCAGAAGACAAGAAATAACTAAGATCAGAGCTGAACTGAAGGAGATAGAGACATGAAAAACCCTTCAAAAAATCAATACATCCAAGAGCTGGTTTTTTGAAAAGATCAACAAAATAGACAAATGACTAGCCAGATTGATAAAAAAGAAAAGAGAGAACAACCAAATAGATGCAATAAAAAATGATAAAGGAGAAATCACCACAGATTCCACAGAAATTCAAACCATCATCAGAGAATATTACAAACAACTATGCACATAAACTAGTAAACCTGGAAGAAATGGATAAATTCCTGGACTCCTGTGTCCTCCCAAGCCTAAACGAGGAGGAAGCTGAAACTAGGAATAGACCAATAGTAAGGTCTGAAGTCGAGGCAGCAATTAAGAGCCTACCACACAAAAAAAGCCCAGGTCCAGATAGGTTCACAGCCAAATTCTACCAGACACACAAAGAGGAGCTGGTACCATTCCTTCTGAAACTATTCCAAATAATCCAAAAAGAGGGAATCCTTCCCAAATCATTTTATGAGACCAGCATCATCCTGATACCAAAACCCAGCAGAGACCCAATAAGAAAAGAAAACTTCAGGCCAATATCCATGATGAACATAGATGCAAAAATCTTCAATAAAATATTGGCAAGCTGATTGCAACAGCAAATCAAAAAACTTATTAATCATGATCAAGTAGAATTCATCCCAGGGATGCAAGGCGGGTTCAACATACGCAAGTCTATCAACGTAATTCACCACATAAACAAAACCAAAAACAAAAACCACATGATTATCTCAATTGACGCAGCGAAGGCATTCGACAAAATTCAACAGCCCTTTATGCTAAAAACCCTCAATAAACTCGGTATCGATGGAATGTATCTCAAAGTAATAAAAGCTATTTATGACAAACCAACAGCCAATATCATACTGAATGGGCAAAAACTGGAAGCATTCCCTTTGAAATCCGGCACTAGACAAGGATGCCCTCTTTCACCACTTCTATTCAATATAGTACTGGAAGTTCTAGCCAGAGCAATCAGGCAAGAAAAAAAATAAAGGGCATTCAAATAGGAAAGGTGGAAGCCAAATTGTCTCTATTTGCAGATGACATGGTAGTATACCTAGAAGACCCCATCACCTCAGCCCCAAAACTCCTGAAACTGATAAGCAACTTCAGCAAAGTCTCAGGATATAAAATCAATGTGCAAAAATCACAAGCATTCCTCTACACCAATAACAGACTTAAAGAGAGCCAAATCAAGAATAAACTGCCGTTCACAATTGCTACAAAAAGAATAAAATACCTAGGAATACAACTCACAAGGAATGTAAGGGACCTGATCAAGGAGAACTACAACCCACTGCTCAACGAAATAAGAGAGGACACAAACAGATGGAGAAACATTCCATGTTCATGGTTAGGAAGAATTAATATCCTGAAAATGGCTATACTGCCCAAAGTAATTTACAGAATCAATGCTATCCCCATCAAGCTACCATTGACTTTCTTCACAGAACTTGAAAAAAACACCATGAACTTCATATGGAACCAAAAGAGAGCCTGCATAGCCAAGTCAATTCTAAGCAAAAAGAGCACAGTGGGAGGCATCACACTACCAGATTTCAAACTATACTACAAGGCTACAGTAATTAAAACAGCATGGTACTGGTACCAAAACAGAGATATAGACCAATGGAACAGAACAGAGGCATCGGAGGCAACACAACATACCTACAACCATACAATCTTTGATAAACCTGACAAAAACAAGCAATGGGGAAAGGATTTCCTGTTTAATAAATGGTGTTGGGAAAACTGGCTAGCCATGTGCAGAAAGCAGAAACTGGACCCCTTCCTGACACCTTACACTAAAATTAACTCCAGATGGATTAAAGACTTAAACATAAGACCTGGCACCATAAAAACCCTAGAAGAAAATCTGGGCAAAATCATTCAGGACATAGGAGTAGGCAAGGACTTCATGACCAACACACCAAAAGCATTGGCAACAAAAGCCAAAATAGACAAATGGGACCTAATCAAACTCCACAGCTTCTGCAAGGCAAAAGAAACAGTCACTAGAGTGAATTGGCAACCAACAGAATGGGAAAACATTTTTGCAGTTTACCCATCTGACAAAGGGCTGATATCCAGAATTTACAAAGAACTCAAACAGATTTACAGGAAAAAAACAAACAAGCCCATTCAAAATTGGGCAAAGGATATGAACAGACACTTTACAAAAGAAGACATATATGAGGCCAACAATGATATAAAAAAATGCTCATCATCACTGGTCATTAGAGAAATGCAAATCGAAACCACATTGAGATACCATCTCACGCCAGTTAGAATGGTGATCATTAAAAAATCTGGAGACAACAGATGCTGGAGAGGATGTGGAGAAAAAGGAACACTTTTACACTGTTGGTGGGAGTGTAAATTAGTTCAATCATTGTGGAAGACAGTGTGGCGACTCCTCAAGGCCTTAGAAATAGAAATTCCATTTGACCCAGCAATCCCATTACTGGGTATATATCCAAAGGACTATAAATTGTTCTACTGTAAGGACACATGCACACGAATGTTCATCGCAGCACTGTTTACAATAGCAAAAACCTGGAACCCACCCAAATGCCCATTGATGTTAGACTGGATTGGGAAAATGTGGCACATATACACCATGGAATATTATGCAGAAATCAGAAATGATGAGTTTGTGTCATTTGTAGGGACATGGATGAATCTGGAGAACATCATTCTCAGCAAACTGACACAAGAACAGAAAATGAAATACCACATATTCTCACTCATAGGCGGGTGATGAAAAATGAGAACATATGGACACAGGGAGGGGAGTACTAAACACTGGGGTCTATTGGGGGAAAAGGGGAGGGCCAGTGGGGGGGGGAGCTGGGGAGGGATAGCCTGGGGAGAAATGCCAAATGTGAAGGGTGAAGAGGAGAAAGGAAGCAAAACACACTGCCATGTGTGTACCTATGCAACTGTCTTGCATGTTCTGCACATGTACCCCAAAACCTAAAATGCAATAAAAAAATAAAAAAAACCCATAGCCAGCAATGTTTATTTTTTCTAGACTGACTTATATCATTCCCATGATTCAATGGGGAGAGAGCTCTTACATAACCAGAGCCTTAATTTAAACTTAAAATACTCATGTTATGTTGGCTTTTCCAATCTGCTTGTCCACCTTAAAAGAGTTGTCTTTGTATATTTGTCATCCTGACTCTACAAAATCCAAATTGAGAATTTTTCAGAAAAGATTATATTCCCAGACATAGACAAAGGTAGGATACACCAGACTACTCAAATAGAAGGTTGGTTGGTTTATTGTAAGAATTTTATGTGGCATAAGAGAAAGAAGTTCATGGAACAGCTGTCAGCCTCATAAGGGCAGAAATGCCAGGGTTAGTGTGTTTTCAAGGAACATGTGTCATCTTAGCCACAGGAGTGCTCCAACATCAATGCTACTCGGTTTCTCTTCCTATCTGTTTCCCTCTGTGTCTGCCTGTTTCTCTTCCCACCACTGTTACCTGTATGCTACCTTTCTCACACTTTCTGCATGCTTATAACTTCCTCTTACACAGGACGCTCTGTTACTTCAACACTACCTCATGGTATCTATTTATATCCTATGATCTTTAACTACCATGCCACCTGCCACATTATCAGCATTTTATTTTCCTCATGCCCATGAGAAAGACATGACTAGCCATCCTTAAAAACACTCCGTTCCCAATCCAATCACCTAGTTCAACCATGTGCCCAAGACTGCCTGGCCAGCCAAGGCAATGATAATTCAAGCCACTTCCACCCACACCAAGTTATCTCTCAAATCTTAGTTTTTACCAACTGAAATGCCCCCTGAAGTTTTCCTTGATGCCTCATCCTTATGTCTGTCCAGTTTTATTCTGCTCTGAGATTCCCCCAAGAACTCTATCAGAGAAAGACTTGACCCAGACTACCAACACACTGTGAAGCTGGGATAAGCCCTCGCTAAAACCCATGGGCAAAAAAGGACAGTGCCAGAAAGTGTCAGGGCTAATCCAAAGAGAATCCCAACCAACAGGAGTGTGTGTAGATGAGGATAAAGGACAGTCACAGAATTCTCAGTGCAAATTGGGGATTATTTTGGCCCAAGTGTTCACATTTTTATACATGAGATAATAAATGACCAAGTCTGAGTTTACTCATGGCAGTATCACGTAAGGAAAGCAAACCCCTGCCACCTCTGAGAGACAGGGATGTGCAAAGAGTGTGTCTAGTGCTCCATCATCAACAGGCTCTGCTGTCTGCAATGCGTCTCCGTATGCCTGCTTGTCTTTTCACTAGCAGCTGGCTTTCTCACTCTCTACCATTGCATAGAAGAGGAGAGCAAACAAAATACAGGTCCAGAGGAAGAGGAAAAGAGGGTAGTGGGTTGAATAGAAGAGATGTAGAACTAAAGCCCCTCAGGGAGGTTGCAATAGTTACTATCATTACAGCAGATGAGCTCTGTCCTCTTTTCGAACCCCAAGAAGTTGATGTCCTCACAGTTGGTTATACATGACAGCTCTGAATAATGATACATGCTCTGCCCTGAGGAGGTAAAAGAGAGGAAATATGATAATGACCTCACTTCCTTTTACTGCATCCCTAGGAGTAATCTGTGTTTATGTCCTAACTAACCTTTCTCTAGGCCCAAATGAGTTCCAAAGCTGAGTCTGTTAATTGCTGACCCAGAGAGTAGATTTTATTCTCCACCAGGTAAAGGGCATCAACCTCTTTTCCACTCAATATGGTCTTAAGAAAAAGTCTGTCTTTGACATCCCCTCATGACCACCCTATACCCACCCATCCCATTCACCCACTCAGTGATGGCAAAAGAACACCACTGTTTCTCAGCGATGGTGGTGGTGATTTCCCAGTCACTCCGAACTCCACATTACCTTTGCTTGCAAGTATGTAAAAGTTCTCAACTGCACAAGACTGCTTACGCTTCAGAGAGCAGGATGACATGACATCATAGCATAACCCGAGATGATATTTTTTACATTTATAACACTGTATTCCAGTCTCTGCTAGATACAAAAAGAGGTGCTTAGAAAGTGCAGCCTTGAGATTGTTCTCTGGGGGCTCCACCACAGGACCTTACTCTTGCCTAGTGGTTACTAACAGTTTTTAAACCACGGACTCTTGAAAGTCTTGAGAAAGATAGGGATAATCATGCTGTTATTTTCTTTATTTATACATTAATAAATTTGTAAACCTTTTCTCCAATTAAAAAAAATCTTGTGAAAGATAACCTGTATAAACATAAATCAAACACTATATATGATTTCAGGAGGTCAGGGTTTCCATAAATTTACCCATGGACCTCCAGTAATGAACCTTTTATCTAGCCTGATGATTTTGCCCAGTGATCAGTTAAAAAAAAAGTGAAGAGGATCTTAGCCTCCTTACTCTAAGAAATGGATTAAACAGGTCTGGAAGGAGGTCAAACTTCTAGGATTCTATAATAAGAATGGATTAAAGGTCTCTCCAAAGATGAAGGGAATGTTTGCTCCTAAACATATCACAAATGGCCGTTTACCAAGGACTTCAGACAAGCCATGATTGTACCTTTTAGAGGGTCATGAAGTTCAACTGTGAAAAGAAGAAAAATCCTCCTTGGTAAAATCTCACATATATCTGCCACAGCCCTAAGACCCAATTTGGGAAACTTCCTCTTCCCCCAGCATCTGTCCATCTCTTAACCAACCACCAGCTTCCCCTCTTATCTCTAGGACTTACCCCAAAATGAGCAGGGCAGAAACACTGTGCCCAGCAGAAAGAGAACAAGCAGCCTGGAGTTTCTGTCAGGTGTAGCTTCCTGTGGAAGGAGCTGTTTGTTCTTTCATGATCAGTCCTTGGGCTACTCATCTAAATTATACAGTCATAAAATTTCAGGGACAGTCAGTATGACAATGTTCCCAGAGCCAAGTGATGGCTGCACAGCGTTCTAAAGAGGGTACTCACTTTGATTTTCACAAATCCTCTAGTGAAAATGAAATTGTAATGTTTCTGATTCACCAGACCTGCTCCTACTTCAGTATTGCAGAATTTTTAAAAGTAATTTCAACTTTCATTTTAGATTCAGGGGGTACATGTGCAGGATTGCTACAGGGGTATATGGCTTGATGCTGAGGTTTGGGATATGAATGATCCCGTCATACAGGTAGTGAGCATAGCACCCAACAGTTAGTTATTCAGTTCTGCCCATTTCGTTCTCACAATGTTGCAGGTTTTAATACACCTGGGAGGTATTCTTTACAGCTTCTTGTGTTCCATCCTCAGTGAGCGCTCTAACAGCAAGTCTTATCCATTCTACCTACTAACTTCTCACATGGGTTTATTACTCTCTGTCTCCACTGCCATTACCAAAATCCAGTCTATCATCAACGCTTGCCTGGATGAAGCAGTGGCCTTATTTTTGGCCTCCATACTTCTCCTCTGCCCTTTCACTATCATTTCTTCATAAAGCAGTCAGAGAACACTGTTTTAAGTCATAGATACCATGCCCCTGCTGAAACCCTCTGATGACTTTTCATGACCTTTGAAAGAAAATCCAGAGTTTTTATCACAGCAGGCAACGTCTTCCTCATTCTCTCCACATTTCCTTTGCTCACTCAGGTCTCTTCTCAGATGTCACCCCCTCAGACAGAGCAGCATTTTCTGCCCAATCTCTAGAAAATGGCAGCCTTCATTTCCTACCCTTTTCCCTATTTTATGTTTCATACAATTCTCAATAGCTGATCTTACATTCCTGGTGGCTCACTTTTTTATTCCTCTGCCAGAACAACGCAAAGGGTTTGTTTGATTTCTCATGGCATGCTCCGCATCTAGAGGCCTGGAACAAAGGAAACGCCCAACAAGTGTTTGTTGGAGGAATTAATAATGTTCTTCCCATATCCTGCCTTGCATTCCATTCTCTAGTCCTTTCTCCACAGAGCAACCAGCTGTATCAGATTGGTTTTTTGAACTATAATAAAGATGAGAAATGAAATTTTCTACATTCCAGCAAGGATCCCAAGATAATAGGTAGCAAGTGTTTCACATTTCAAAATGAAATGCTATGCCGCTTAGGCGGATTTACAAAGAAAATAAATAAAACCGTGTTTAATATCCTGGACTTGTGACCCACCTGGAAGGTATAAATGAACGGTGAAGTGCCAGAAAATAAAATGGAAGGAGTTTCTGTAGTCTGGAATGAGGGGTACTTTTCTGTATATAGCTCAAAACATAGAACCATAAAAAAGATATGTTTACTTATATTGTTTAAAAATCTTCTACATAGGTAGAAAACCAATCATTAATCCATAAGCCCAAATAACAAACAATTAAAAATATTTGCAATTCATATCTCAGACTAAGGGCTAATCTCCCTATTATACAAAGACATTTCAGAAATTGATTTTTAAAAGACTAACAATTCAAAGGGGAAGGAGGCAGTCAGTAATAATGTATAGTTCACAGAAAAAAGAAGCAAAAATTCTTCTCAAACATGTGAAATATGCTGAACCTTACTCCTAATTTTAATCATAAAAATAAAACTAAATTCAGATACTAATTTTACTTAACAGATTGGCAATAATCAGAATTTGATAACACAACCGTGTTGGCAAGATGGGAGTAAAACTAGCACTGTCATACATTGTTGATGGGGCTGTAACTTACTATATCAGTAAGAAATAAAATTAGACAATAGTTCTCAAAATTATAAAGAAATTGCCATCTTAGCCCAGTAATTGCATAAGATTTTTCTTGTACATTTGGCCTTGTTTCCAGGATTCTTCAGGGAAAAATACAGACAGATGAATAGATGACAAATACTTTGTGAGTTCCTATTGATATTTTCAGTTGAAATTCAAGACTGAGAAGATTTTACTTAACTTCATATGACAACTGTATCTCTTTTGTTTTACACTGATAGGTCTTCTCAGGGACACAGAATTAGAATAGAATAAAATTAGAATAAAATATATAGCATATGACATGCAGAACAGAATATTACATATATATGAATTATAATATGGCATATACAGGACAGAATAAAATTAGAATTCAATAGAATTAGAATGTTTTATAATCAATCATTTGCTTTATCCCACATTAAACACCTAACGGCCTTAGCATGACAATACTATCACTAATAGTGCTTCCTAAAAGAGTTGTAAAATTTTGTCTGTGCTCTTTATTTTCTCAACTACTACCACCTGCATTTTTTATCGTCTGCTATATCTAATTATCCATATGGCCACTACATACTACACTATCTACCTTTTAATCTTTACTTAGTCTTTGTTCTACTAGTAAGTTTATATTTAAACTTGACCATCGGCCGATAAGTTGAAGTCTCACTAGTCATTTTGTCTATCTGAAGCACTCTTTTTCAATGCACTGTTCAGGAAGGAATTATACAAATAATAATTCTGAAATTCTGGTATGTCAAAAAGGTTTTATGTTCTTTACACTTGCAATTAAGTTCTTCTAAATACAAATTCCTTAGTTCACATTTTCTTTCTTTATATAATGCAAATATATTACTCCTTTTACAAGCATTTGGTGATTAACCAATTTTCTGTTCCTTATAAGTTGTATGCTCTTTTGACTTAAAAGCTCAAATGATTCTTTTTAAGTTCGGTCATTTAATAAGGCCGTGTCTTTGTTTTGATCATTCTAAGTCAATATCCTCAGGTACACAGTGTGTTGTTTCAATGGGAAGTTTCAATTCTTTTAAAATCATTTCAGAAAAGTTTTTTTATGGTTATTAATTTTTAGTACTTGTCTGTTCTTTTTCCTTTTTTCAAGAGCTTCCATTATTTGTATAGTAAACTTTATAACTTAAAAAACTCCCTTTTTTATGTCTTTAAATTTAATTATTCATTTATTGCAGATTTTAAATTTTTCTACTTTTTCACTTTCTATTTCTCTTAAGTTAATATTTCATTATTCATTCTTACACTTCTTATTTTTTATATGGGAAGGGCAGTGCACCATGGGCCCAGAGCATCACTGCATATTCTTGCGGGGGATGCCAAAACTGTGAGGCTCTGGCTGCTCTTTACCCAGGCCATATCTCAGAGTTATGTTTTCAGTGAGGAACCGTGTAGAATGCAGTAACAAAGAGTAGGTTTGAGTCCACTTAATATTCAAGTCATAGATTCCTCTAGCACAGTGTTCCTAAGCTTCAGCACAAACCCACAGTTTGATAGCATCATCCTGGGCCTCATATATCTCCCACCGTGAGACGCAGGGAACCAGAGGAGTACTGAAAACCGGTGTGAAGCCCTGGCTTCTGCTTTTGCTGTGAGTGCTAAAGTCTTTGGTTTTGGTTTTGTTATTTAGTTGGTTTTGTTTTGTTTGGCTTGTTTGTTTGTTTTCGAGACAGAGCCTTATTCTGTCACCTAGGCTGGAAGCAGTGGTGCAATCTCAGCTCACTGCAACCTCTGCCTCCCAGGCTTAAGTGATTCTCCTGCCTAAGCCTCTCGAACAGCTGGGAACAGAATACTCTGTTCAATAAATACTTCTGGGAAAATTGGCTAGCCACATGAAGAAGAATCAGACTAGATCTCTACCTCTTATCATATGCAAACAGTAACACAAGATAGATTAAAGACTTAAATGTATGTCTTTAATCTATAAAAATCCTAGAAGAAAACCTAGGAAAAACCCTTCTGGACATTGGTCTAGACAAGAAATATATGACTAAGTCTTCAAAAACAAATGCAATAAAAACAGAAATAAACGAATGGAACCTAATTAAACTAAAAGCTTCTGAACAGCAAAAGAAACAATCAAGAGAGTAAACAGACAACCTGTAGATTAAAAAAAAATTGCAACTATGCATCCAACAAAGGGCTATAAGTATCTATAAGGAACTCAAACAACTCGGCAAGAGAAAACCCATTAAAAAGTGGACAAAGGAGATCAACAGCTACTGTTCAAAAGAAGACATACAAGTGATCAACAAACATGAAAAAAATGCTCAACATTAATAATGATGAGAGAAATGCAATTTTAAATCACCATGAGATAGCATGTTACACCAGTGAGAATGGCTACTATTAAAAAGTCAGGGGAGAAGTGGGGATAGATAGCCAATGGGTACAAAAATATATTTGGATAGAATAAATAAGATCCAGTCTTTGATAGCACAACAGGGTGACAATAATTTACTGTATATTTTTAAATATACAATTGTAATTGGATTATTTGGAAGACAAAGAAAGGATAAATGCTGGAAGTAATGGATACCTCATTTACCCTGATGTGATTATTATGCATTGCATGCCTGCATCTAAATATCTCACATGCCCCGTAAGTATATACACCTATGATGTACCCCAAAAAATAAAAATAAAAACTTTTTATTAAAAAGTTGAGAAACAACAGATGTTGGCAACAATTTGGAGAAAAGGGAATGCTTATACACTGTTGGTTGGGAATGTAAATTAGTACAACCTTTGTGAAAAGCAGAATGGAAATTTCTCAAAAAACTAAAAATAGAACTACCATTTGATCCAGCAATCCCACTACTGGGTACATACTCTAAGGGAAAGAAATTATTATATCAAAAAGACACCTGCACTCGTATGTTTATTGTGGCATCATTCACAATACCAAGGATATGGAATCAACCTAAGTGTTCACTAACAGATGCTTGGATAAAGAAAATGTGGTACATACATACCATAGAATACTACTCAACCACAAAAACAATGAAATTTTGTTAATTGCAGCAACATGGATGGAACTTGATACCATTGTCCTAAGTGAAATAACTTAGAAACAAAGTTAAATACCACATGTTTTCACTTCTAAGTTCACTATTTGGGTGATGGGTTCACTAAAAGCCCAGACTCCACCACTATGCAATATATGCATGTAAGAAATCTGCACCTGTATCCCTGAAGTGGGATTGCTGGATCAAATGGTAGTTCTATTATTTATTTCAGATATATTCATACCCTTTTCCATAGATGTTGCACTAATATACATTCCCACCAACCTTGTATAAGTGTTTCCTTCTCTCCACACCCTCACCAGCATCTGTTTTGTTTTTTTTTTTCACTTTTCAATAACAGCCAACTGCTTCAAATTTTTTAAATTTTTTATTACCTTCTTTTTTCGGTTTTGCTTCAGATTTTTTTCATACTTTAAGTTCTGGGGTACATGTGCAGAACGTGCAGTTTTGTTACACAGGTGTACACATGCCATGGTGGTTTGCTGCATTCATCACCCCATCATCTACATTATTTCTCCTAATGCTATCCCTCCCCTTGCCCTTCACCACCCAACAGTCCCTAGTGTGTGATGTTCCCCTCCCTGTGTCCATGTGTCACATAGTTCAACACCCACTTATGAGTAAAAACATGCAGTGTTTGGTTTTCTGCTCTTGTGTCAGTTTGCTGAGAATGATGGTTTCCAGCTTTATCCATGTT